CCACCAACACTAGGCAAAACGATTGTTTACTTGAACCAATACAGCAGGGCAGCATGTTAGGTGCCGTCATGTGGGAATTCCCATATAAATAAATTAATTGTGGTGTAACAAACTGAGGAATGAGGAAAAACCTAAACCTCAGACAACCTTACTACATTACAATCAATTAATAGTGTAGAAGACATAATGCCTGTGTTTTTTTTATTATGGCCTTATAATGAATCAATAATTCCACAGTTATTAATATCACTTTCACGATCCATCTGGTCTCACTTTTCCAGAAACTAAACACCCTGTGTACTGTTCAGTTACTTGTAGTCCTTGGGAATTTCCTCAGATGTGGTTTCTGTTGAGGACAGTCACTACTGCAGAATGACTCATTGCACATGGTGTAGGTGTTTCCCCTGCAAATGCTTTTTTATATTAAGGTTATTCTGTGTTGCACCACACTCAATCTATTAAATTCTGTGAATTGTTGTTTTAAGTGCGCAGTTTCAGAACAAAAAACGTCTCAAAAGAGTGAAAGTAGCCTTTGTCATTTCTAGACTGTGTATGCAGTGTGTACACAGTATGAGTAAAGTGAGAACAGGTGTTTCAGAAGACAAGAAGTGTGATACATTTTAATTGGCATACAGTTTTCACTGTCCCTTTCCTTTTATGGATTTTGTTACATAATACACTGAACAACTGAGATATTGTTTTTCCACCTGGGAATTTCCTGAGACTGTAGTTTTGGCTGACTACTAACTTATACTTACTTAAGGACATCCCAAAAAAATCAGTGTTTTTCCTTTAGGGAAATTGAGTTTTTACACACCAATACACACAAATAGGAACTAAATGAAACTATATAGTTGCGGATAACTTTCAGCATTTGGTTTCTATAATACCACAAAGAGAAAAAGGGAGGCACTGTCTGAAGTGTGATAGCAGATTCCCCCAGCAGGTACAGGAATACACCCTTCTGCACTTTGACAGTAATAGGCTTTTTCTTTGATACTGCTCACTGGGACTTTCCTGTAGCTTGGTGCCTGTCACTTCTTTCAGATGGGTTCTTTGCTGACAGATCATGACAGAACTCATTTTCCTTCTCAACAGCGACTGGGAAAAGCCAGTCAGATATTTCAGATAAGACTGTTTATTGTTTTTGTATATATTGAAGAAAGTGTTTACTGTATCCTGTGTGAACAAAACCATTTTCAATAATTATTTTCAAGGGATGTCAATATAAAGTAAGAAAACGTGACTAGGGTTTAGATTTATAAAAAAAATAATCAGTCATCTGCTAATCTTGTGCAAATGACCCACTGGCCTACTCTCATACAAGATGAGTTTTCAGCATCACAGGGCATTTTTTATTGTTGCATGAGTGTTATACTATTCCTGCCTGACTGTGCACTGATTTAAAATTTCAAATAAAAAAATAATCTGTCCTAACACTAGTGATCAACTTGTTTGTCTTTTCAACAGGCATCACTTTACAACCCACAGCATTTCATGTAAGTACCCCTCCTATTTCATATTACAGCATTATGAATCTGAAATGCCTGCAGTATGGACATTACAATGTTATGACACACAAACAATCAAGTTGCCTTAACTTTTACCATCTACCACATTTACAGAGTTAGAGACTGTCATCACCACTATTGAATTTGAACAGAATAGAACAGCCTGTGTTACTGTTAAGTCACTAATTACTTTCTGATCTCACCCTCTTTACTTTAGTTGAAAACAAATGGTTGGCAGGAAACACCTAAAAATACTGAGCTGAGAACTAACAGGTTTCATCACTGCACAAATAACTAGTTTCTGCTGAGAATTTAAGACTCCATATTGCTTAGTATATTGTGATTTAATCTTAACTTGTACTACTACTGAAGTAATCCAGTAGTTGTATCCCAATGTAAATCTGTGAACCTAACAATAACACAATATGTTAATGCATTACTCAATGGGCTATTGCTTCCTGTGTCAGGCTCATCAACTAAAGCTCCGGTGCTATAAATGTTTAACAGCAACATGGACACAAATTGTCTAAAAGACCAAGGATACTGAGAGCTTTTTTTTCCAAGTTAAATTTATTTGTGTGTAGGTGTTTGCGAAAGAGAGGGGGTTTAATTTCAGCTTCAGAAATAATGTGGGCAAGTTCAGTCAAACTTGATCAGTCAATATGAACACATGTGCGGTTCCAGAGGCAGTGAACTGAATCACTCGCTCACAATATCTCCAGGCAGAGGGCCAGGGATATTTAGAAGTATTGGGCTTCATGCAAGAACATTTTCGTATTCTTCTCTTAACTTTCTCTTACTTTTTTTTGTATGGTGTGCCACGTCAGATTCTAACTAACTTCAGATTTCTGTGTAAATCACCTGTGTAAAAATTATAAATGCCACCTGTGAGTCATGGAGTGTGCATTTATGAGAATTGAACATTTGCATATCTATGGCCCCAATCATATAAGGCTACACAGCCTGCCTCATGTGTGAGGAAGTTCATGCGTGAAAATTATTTGGAAGAGTAAAAAGAAGAACCTTACGAGTTTGGGGATTAGAGTCCTGCTCTCAGAGATCAACAAAGGAAAGTATAAAAACAGTGTCAGCAGTGGAATTAAAGGACCTGGAGTGGGAAAAAATAATGAGTGCTGTTAAGAAGAAGTGGTTTGATATGAAAAGCAAGGCGATCGATAACTGCAACAGTGGGGGTCAGGGGTAAGGCTTCATCACAGAGATAGGGAGATAGACTAGACGAAAGAATATGAGCCATAATAGGTGATGTTGAATTGCCAGGCATTGCAACAGAGACGTTCCCTTCGACAGCGACCCGCATACGCCTTAATTCGAAGAAAACCCAAACCTCCATTATTAGCCAACTTAAATTAATGATGATCGTTTGGCTATATTATACATTTAGAACTATATTATAATTCAAACTGTACAGTCAAACAGGATGATAATGATTTATTAGTATAATGTAATATAATATAATAATAATGATAATTATGAAGTCTTATTTAAAAAGGAAACTCAAAATTGCGTTACAGTAATGCAATATACAGTCCTTCAGTGAAAAACATGTTTGGATAACAGCAGACTAATTCTATGTAAATTGTGTTTGTGCCTAAGAGAAAAATTCAAAATAAGAGATAATTGGTGAATTTTCCTCGTACAAGATCTGTACAAGTGATTCTTGCATGAGGAACATTGTTTGCGCTGTGGGGATGCAGTTTTTGTATGGCTATATGTTCCTGTAATGCCCCAGTAACAATTTTTTTTTTCCCCCTGTACTTCAGGTTTTCCCTCAAGATTTCCCTCCTCCTTGCCCTGGTTACAATAACATGGCACATTTCCGTCACAGGTGAGCAGTCCATCTTATCAGTGCATCAACATAACACTTTCTTCTTGGTTGGTGATATAACACCAGTATGCTTGGTCGCACAAAGCAACACCAAATGTATTATCATACAAACCAGCAACGTTGAAGCTCCAAATAAAGCAAATAACAACATATAATGTGAGCTGGCAGAGATGAACACACAAAGAGTTATCGTTCAACTCATGAACTCTAGAGAAGGTTTTAAAGTTCACCATCTTGTGAAGTACGCTTACTTGTTTTCTTGCCGAGCGATAAATAAGAAGATTGATATCGCTCATTTGTCTGTACAATAAATATACAAAGCTACAGCCAGTAACCGGGTTAACTTAGCTCGGCATAATGACTGCAAACCAGAGCTAGCTGTTTCCCCCTCTTTTGTGTCTTTGTGCTAAGCTAACCGGCTGCTGGCTGTAGCCTTATTATTATGAGAGTGTTATCAAACTTCTCATCTAACTCTCTGCAAGAAAGCAAGTGAGTGTATTTTCTGACTTGTTCTGTAATTATTCCTTTAAGGCCCGTACATTTACTATAACATTGACCATGTTCAGAAACAACTAGGCTACAAAAATGTAAGAAACTACAAGCTATCTGCCCAACCCCAAACCTCAGACAAATAAATTCTGATTAACTGCTGAAAAAAGCTGAATATCTGGCAAACAAAAGACACAGATCTTTTTCTCAGAAGTTGGAGGATATTGACAAAACAGAGCTAAAGCACGAGGTGACCAATAACAGCAAGACACAATGTGATAATAAACTTTTGGTTTACTGTAACTTTCAATATTGTGACCTTTAGATCATGTAAAACATGAAAGGGACACTACTACTAATGTATTTTATACAAAAGAAAGGTCAATTGGGCTAAGAGGAACTGAGATTAGTCTACTACGTCATTAAGTGGAGCTCTTAAAATAAAAACCCCGTCACACCCACTCACAGCCTAAATTAAGAACTGCTTACTCAATGTATATTGCTCAAGTTTGTTAATGGTTTTACAAGCTGACAAGCAACATAAGAAATCAATTATGCATTGAGTCAATAGTACTGCAAACTACTTTGGTCCCCTTCTTAATTTTCTTTTTGTTTTATATTATACTACACAGTTCGTTAATATTTCAATCCATACTTAGGCAACTAAACATTCATGGTGCAGTATATTTATATAATATACTGTACAAAAATGCTACCAACTCAAACATTCAGACTATTTTTAGAGCTGATATTCATTGATGGAAACAGGCTTCCTATAAAACACAACTTTCTGCAATTAAAGATAATACATTTCTGTTTTTTAAATAGTCAGGGCTTGCTTTCATTTCTCCCTTAAGAAAATGTATGTTTCACAAAAGGTTTCCCAGCATGCTCTAACCCTTTACTCTTGCTTGCTTTTGTTTTCCAGAGTGTGCTGATCTAAATCTCAGTGGGGAGGTTGGTGGAAATGTGACCATACGCTGCCCTTTCGACAAAGATAGGAAAATATCTTTTTTCTACTTCCAAAAGGGCCACATGTTTGTGAATGGCTACTATGGAGAAAGAAAGATGGACCAAAAACAAGTCCCGAAATGGAATAACACCAGACTTGATAGAGACAATAATACTGTGTACATGTACAATTTGACTGTCGCACATAGCGGTGATTATCAGTGCCACATCAAGTACAGTGAAAGCGATTTGATCAATGAAACAAAAATACACCTCAGTGTCACAGGTATGTGTGTGTTCAATTTAACATTTAGAAATGTATTTGATTGTTTAAGTTTTAGGTTGATAGGAGGCTCATTTTCTAACACTTTACAACACTACGATGGAATAATACTGTATATACAGGCACTTCTATAGCTCCTCTAACATTGTAGGTGACAAATAGTTGTTTCCACTTGAACGTAGCAGTGCCAATGATATTGATTAGATTGATCAATAGTTTTTGAAGATGATGATCTTGTTTTTGTTCCTCTGGAAGACCTTTAAGAGTTTAAGTTCAAAGTATGTCATCAAAAAAAAATGCATGATGTATAATGCTGCCAAGTTTTTAACAACTGGCATGACATAGGACAAAGTCAGACTTTAACACAAATGTATGAGGATGAAATTTAGCTAGCTGAGTCAACAGTAAATCCTTTGCCAGGCCGGTAATAAACCTTGATTTTAGCGGCAATTCTTCTGATATTTTACTGTCAATTATAACTGTGAAAGCGAAGTTTAGCTGTTCATATTTTCGAAAATACAAAGGCCGGGAAACTTTCTTGACAGGTTATCTTTTAGACAGAAAAACACACTTTTAATAGGTAACCCAGCTCCTCGTCTTAGAAAAGAAAAGTTTCTATGAGAACCATGGTGACCATTAGACTTAAAATCCCTTCAGTATAATTCTCAAAAAACACTCTCTCAGCTTTGTGAAAATCCTTTTACATTATAAAAAGGTGCATGGTGCCGAAACTAATCATTTTCAGAAAACTTGACATGCTACATATATAACCAACATTCTGACAGAGGTTTTTTTCTCTCTTTCCTAGCAAACTACAGTAAACCTGAAGTCAAACAGTACTGTAGTAGTAAAAACCAGGTATTTGGTTGCCTGGTGACGTGTGCTTCACATGGTGGCTACCCTGACCAGGAAATAGTTTGGAATGTAGACGGGGCTCAGATGTGGAATGTTGTGAACATCAGTAAAACGAAAGATCCCCACACCAGGATGTTCAGCGTCTACAGCTCGGCATACTACAACTGCTCCAATGGACCGCTGGAGGCCCTCAGCTGCTCCGTGGGTGCCATAACCTCAGAGATGTTCTCAATATGTGAGTACTAAACTCTAAAAAAACCAGTCCTAATGGTTTCTGTACCAAAATCTGTTTTATGCTGGGAAAGTTTTGGGAAGTGTGAAAGGCAATGGAAAAGCCCTTGATGGCTCCTTTTTCAGGAATGTGCAAGGGAATTTTTTTTATAACCTCCCATAAATGGTGGACTTTTAAATCAGAGTTTAGAGTCTAACCCTCCCTGAGTAACATTGCTCATCATCCATTTTTGGTATAGGCTGCTGTGCTTTGGACTGATCAAATATAAACATATTCTTTATTATTTTCTGTGTGATAATTAACTATAAACATTATTTAAAGGGTTGCCTCAGGGCAGATTAATGTATCCTGTATCCAGAGCAATGGGTTCACTGATTCTGACAAGGATAAAATAATGTTGCTGTTGATTTTGATTTTTAATTATATTTCTATTGGAGCTATTGAATTTTGTAAATAAATTCTGTAAAAGTCAGCATCACAAAGAAAAGTAAAGCCAACACAATCTGCACGGCCATACCATTTTTTAAATCAACGAATCCAATGAAAAGAATGAAACCCAACAATGGTCTGATCTAACTAAGTATTTTCTTTGTAGCCAATATAATGTAGATATATTTATCCTTGTTATAGAGCTCCACTATTGTCCAAAATCTATTCAGTGAGTCAGACTGTTGGTACTAGACATAGGCACTATAGTGTATATTGAATCAATCCCACATACTCCTTCCTGCTGCCATAATTACTCACAACTGTGGCCAGCTGTTTTAGGAAATTATTCAGCTTTGTAAAGTAAGACATTATATAACTGTGACGTTTGATTTACATCGTCAGTGGTAGTGAAGATATGGGATTTGTTAACAGTAAGAATAATATAAAATATTGCCAGCCGTATGCCTCTGATAAACATTTGTTTTCATCTGAAGGTAAACCCAAGGATCCATCTGAAGGTGGCTGGCCCTATATTACAGAAGTAGCAGCCATCTTGGCAGTAGTGTTCTTAATGGTGATGTTGCTGGTGTGGTGGAAATGCAGGAAAAGACAGAGAGGTAAGGGCAGAGATTAGGTGTGTCACAATAAAGCTGTTCTACACACATTTGCATATATGTTTGTAAGAATACAAAGATGCCATGTATGAATGAATATACAGTAACGACAAAAACAACTCACAGCAGTTTGTATGTTGGTTTCCAGGAGCAGCAGCAGCAGCACCAGGAGATGTGAGGTAAGAGTGAGTAGTAACCAAAATACTTTGATTTCATTCATAAGTAATGTAAAATGTAAGCTAAAAGGGGTTCCAAGAGGCACAGCTGTAATGACAAAATGCTGCTATTCGTGATTGTATGTGCAGTCCTAGTTGCTTCAAAATGTTGTTTGTAACTTGTAATGTCCATTATATTTTTTATTCCTTTTAACTACTGACCTTATCCCTCCATTTCCCTTTTCTTACCGTCTTTATTTTTCCCATTCTCCAGGGAGAGAGTAGCCTTAAATGCAACACAAGGAGAGGAAGGAGCTTCTTGTTGAAGAGGATTATTCAAGTTGTATTTGGATAATCTACTCACATGGTTGTTCTAGAAACTAGAACTAATACTGTATGTCCCTCAAGTGTATAATACATTTGTGACTGACTGACTTCATACATATCAGAAATGGCCCTGGCCAGATGGAGTCAGACTAAGGACCGGAAGCTGTCAACATTTCTCTGACACTTGTGACTTGTTTGAGGAAGTATTCTACATTAGTATCATGTTACTGGTGAAGTACAGCGTGTTGATCTACTGAGAATAGCTAACTTCTTTAAAAAAAATGAACTTTTCCAGTGTTCCAGTGGTTAGTGCGGACATTGTTATTGCCTATACTGCAAAACAGTCTCAATGGAAAACAATTTCCTCCAGTGAAGACAAAGTCTGATGAAATATATGTTTTCGTTTTGTTTTATTGTTGACACTGACCTTTGTGGGGAGAAATGGGATCTGTTACACTTGCTACAAGTTTCAGTTTTGGACTGAGTTTTGTCATTTTAAAATACAGTATACTGTTGTTATTGCACTTTAGAATTCCCCTTAAATAGGCATATTGCCCCTTCTACAACATCCTGTTTTCTTTAGTGTTTGGCTTTGTAATATATTGTATTTAAGACACATAATAGAACAGTCAGTACTAGTTTGAAAGTGATCAAAAGTCACTGTAGTTGCCTCATTGGTGCCCAGGGTTTTACTCTTTAATTAGTTTTGTCTATCAGAAATTATCTGTAGCAGAAGCTGTGAAAAATATTGAATCCTATTTGCACATAAATTGGTTCACTGAAGTCTTCCACAATAGGTTCCAGTATTCCAAGATTCCCCTGTAAGGTGCAATATTAAATACAAGGGAAAAGGGGGTTTCTTTTTTGGTTAAATTGCCGTTACCCCCATGATTCAAATTTTGGTAGTCAATTTTTTACTCAGGTGACTGTTCTCATGTGAAATATCCATGTTGTGTGTTTTGCAAATATTGTTTTGCTACGTATTTATTTCATATTATTTTATGTTTTTCTTTCTCAATATGAAACTGTAAACCGTTTAACCTGTTTACAATATTTTCTGGATAACAAAACCTTCATTATTCCTCATTCTTTAGAATTAACAATCTCAAAGGGCTGCTTTCATTTCCTAAATTTGTACAAAACACTCTTCTCATATGACTTTGTCTTGTTTGTTTGTCATTTCACATAACCCTGTATGTCTATTTTTTCTTTGGGACCAAACTATGTTATCAATTAAACTTGTGTAATTTAATTCTTATCGTTCACTCACTTCACTATATGTCAGAATATTGCTATTTGAACTGCTGTAGGAGATTGCATTTAAGAGGCCTGACTGAATTTTGTGTTGCAATGCAGTTTATTGCCACTAGATGTCATACTAGCACCACAGAGTCAAGACAAATCTGCTGTCATGGCTGATTGGCGTGGTTGGTATTGTGTATACTATAACATTAGTGCAACATCCATGAGCCTGATCACATTTGTCAGCTGGCCTGCAAAAGGCCAAAAACGTAATTTCCGCTTGCCAGACAAATGAAACAGTGTTTATGCATTCAGCACTTGATGTATGATCAGAGCGATGTGAACACTTTTAAACAGGGATACATTATGTGTCTCTGGCCTCAGTATATGCTCAACACATGCCAGGAAAAGGATGGCTAGCCCTGGTATATTAAAGGAAAAGAAAGGGGAAAAACGAGCAAGGAAGAGAAAAGGATTGTAGACTAGATGTGAGATGACATCAAAAGACGGCGGAAACAAGATGCAAGACCATTTGTTCACAGGAACCTACTGAATGTGTGAGAGAGGAGACAAGAGGATGTCCTGTCTAGGATACTGTTAACATTATAGATATACACATCAGGGCTAACTGTCTGTCTGTATATGTATCTCGGTCTCAAACTGTTTCCACCATTTCTTCTTCCCCTTCTTTATATCTCTCTTGCTCCCCATTCTCTTTTTCCTTCATCACATATTTTATTCTTTCAAATCCCACCTCCACGTCTATTCCTCACTTGCTTTCTCTCGGCCTCATGAGTCACTGTGACAGGCTGTCAGTCCACCTCTCGGCCCTGTGTTTACATTGGGCAACAGAGCAGCACCAGGCTGGTTGCACTTCAGGAATGTAACCCCCAAGGTCCTTGCTCTCCTCCTCCTCCTCCTCCTCATTTCCCTTCTCCTCACCTCTTTTCTTTCCCTCCTTCATTCTTTTATTCCCTCGTCGCACAGATTCACTGTTTCCCCTTCTCCTCACTTTCCTTCTGTTCCTTCTTCTGTCATCTCTCTTCCGCTCCTCTCCTCCCTCTAATTATCCTCCCCTCGGCCCCATCAAACCCCACCCACACCACAAACTCACCCCTTCTCTCCTTCTGCCACCTTTCTCTCCTCTTTTCTTACCCACCCTTACTCCTCTCTCTCCGCTCCCCTTCTCCGCTCGGCTTTTTTCTATCCCCTCTTTAAAATTCAGAAAGCATTGTCCAGACTCACTCACACCCCCCCACACCCCATTCTCCTGTCATCATCCCCTCACCTCCCACTTCTCCCCATCTTTCTGTCCTCCCTCCCTCATTCCTCTGCTGTCTAACCCAAACAAACCAGTGAGGACTTTCCTCTGTGGTGGCTGTAGAAGAAACACACCACATGTCAGACTTGGTTTAAACATAAACATTAGTCATTTTGAGGTACTGGAAAAGGATATGAGGCGCTTAAGTTCAACATGAGATAGAGCTTCTATTATGAAATCCTAACGCTAAAACTCACCACAGGGTTTAAAATCAAAGCAGGGAACAGTATATTTTGGTGTATATTGGCAAAAGTATATTCTTTGGAATGGGCAACTGTATATAAGAAATACTAAAACCAATGGACCCCATAGAATAGAAAAACAATTAAAAAAAAGCATTTTTCTGATGGTTTGTTAGTAACCTTTTACTATGAGGAGCACCTTGGATTTAATTTCTGTTATTTGTATTCATCGTTTGTATTATGTCATTACAGTAATATCATTGACAATGTATAATACATTTATATATGAATAAAATTCATTGTGAGATTAAAAATATACCTTTAAATCTTAGCAGACTGTTCTGTTTTGTTGTGCACTGACACAGCAGAATGTGTGATCTCCTCCTTAATGGAGAACCTTATTAGTCAGGACACAGTCCTGTGGCATTTCTCAGCAAGAGGCGTGTGACCTCTGCCACACTGTTCTGTGCAGAGTCCATACCAGAGGATTTATAATCAGATTATACTAGTTATGAAAGTCAACTAGATTAGTTTTAGTGCGGGGAGCCAGAGCACAAGGCATCGATTCACAGCGGGAGAGGGGAGTTGATCAGCATGAGGGAGATTGGGCTGTTAGTGTTCTCAGAATAACACCAGGCATTTCACTGTCTCTGAATCCGATCAATGTGTGTGTGTGTGTGTGTGGTGTAATAATAATAAAGAATAAGAGAATAAAATAAACCCTCAACATGATTAAAAATTTAGAATTACATTTTATCCTCAAATTTACATTTCACTGAGCTATTAAGTATTTTGCTGGAACACTGGATTGAAGACAATTTATATACACAATTAGTCTAAATGATGACAGAAAATTATGCATTTTGAGTGTTTGTTTATGGAAGCGTATTGCATTCACTTGAAAAAAAAAAAAAACTCCAGTTTTTCTGAGTAATTTATTTTTTGGTTTGTTTTTTTAATAATTTTTTTTCCCCTGTTTTTCTGACTTATTCTTTCTTTCTTCTTGAATAATTTTTTATTCTGTTTTTCAGGGGATTTTGTTCTGTTTGTCGGAGTAATGTTTTTTCTGAATTATTGAGATACTTCGAACTCCTTGCGTAAGAACCTCCAACCTGCAAGTGACTCCCATGGACCTACGGGTGACTCTTTGGTCCGACATACATGGCCCATCTTCAACTATCGAATGGGCTTGTTCCTTCTGAACAATCAAAGTCCTCAGGGGCCTGCGTAGAGTCGACCAAACTAATGATAATCTATATGACTAACCATCTATATGCTAAAGACAGATTATTCCAGTGTCTTAAACCCAGATCAAAGTAAAAACTTGAGTGAACCTAAACAAGCCGGTCATGTTTGTTTCCATTAAGATCAGCTCTCAATAAAGGATGATGATGCGTCTATTGTTTGCAGAATGCTCTCTAAATCAGAAAAAAAATTTGTCCGAAAAACAGGAAAAAGAAATTATTCAGAAAATCAGAAAGAATTACTCTAAAAAACCAATCATAAAAATAAATTACTCAGAAAAACACAAATAATTACTCAGAAAAACAAACCAAAAATAATATTTCAAGTGAATGCAATACGCTTCCGTAGTTTGTTAACTGAAAATTATTATAAATATAATTTTCATGTTTTTCCTACTGTGTTTTCAAATGTTACTGATGTTAAAGAACATCAACAGCAACATAAAAAACACCTAAAGTGGCCCTTTTGTGTTACTTCTAGGAAATACCTTCTGTAGATGGGATAGTTGTAAGCAACAGAATGAGGCTGACAGTGAGAGACTGAGCAGGTCAGGGGGTTCAGCCCTGGTGCTTCAGCTGAGTGATCATGTTGTTGCTGTCACTGCAGAAACCCTCTCCCTGACCCCCAGAGACAGGAGAGGTGACCTGGAAGCATTTATCACCTCGGTGCTTTCTGACCCATGACCTGAGGCCTAAGATAGGGAGAAGGCACACCAGAGAAAGACACAGGGAAGGACTGACCAAAGCAACAATAGTCATTTGTTGTACCAAATGTGTAAAATATTATAATAAAATAGTTTGTTACAGCGCTCATGAGGAGGAATTTGCTAATTTCTGGAGGAACAAATGCTTTCTTTCCTCCTGAGTTATAGTGGCGGGTTTATGAAACTGTTGGAAACGAATGTAGACTATGTGAGTTTGCATCAATAGCAATATTTCTCTTGGTCAGAGGATGAAAACACTGCCGGTGGTCCCAGTTTGGTTGAGCCAAAAACCATCAGCAGAAACTTGAAAGAGCTTGAAACAAGTTGGGAGAGAGAGATGTTTGCTGGCTTGCAGCCCAATAGAACTATTAACACCTCTCTGTAATGGTGATACACCAAAGGAGTTCTTGGCCGAGGCCTTTTCAATGAGGCTATGACCTGATATCTAAAGTTGTGTGTACATGTGTGTGTGTGCGTGTGTGTAGAGGAGCGAAATCTGAGCAGACACTTAGTAGAGTAACATCGACTTTGAATATTTATAGAACTGCTTAAGATGTGACCTTTAGTTTTCCACACACACACACAGTATACATTATATCTATCTATCCATCTATCAAACTGTACAGTAAACATTGTTCTGCTGCCTGAAACATTCACACAGGTGATCATACTGAAGCCGTCCCGTGAGAGGATCGTATGAGGGGAGCCAAAGAGAAGAACAGAGGCCGGTATGAGGGACTGGTGAGTAAGATGCCCAGTTGGCTGCAGACGGTTGGCAGCCTCATGTTTCTGCAGAGGCTCAACATCAAAGCCCATCAAAAATATTTGTAATGTGTGTTGTGAAAGACTGTTAAGTGACATCATAATATACATACATGATGTTAGTTACTTGCTACAACATTTTACTTGCTGTCCCACAGTATTCTTCCACTGTATGATAGCTAAGGAAGGTTGTTTACATATTTCAGCCTACTACTGTGAAGATTCCACTGTGACCTTATTTGGTTACTGTGACATTTTCTGTTGCACTCCAGACAACTGCGGAGCCATAAATTTCAGCCTTGTTTGCCTTTCTCTTCGCGCACGTGAGTAAGGAAGCCGGTGTAGATTACAGAGACAGTTTATTATTAGAGAACAGACAGTGGAAATGGAAGAGATTAATTACTCTAATATACAATAATGGGCCAAAACTAAAATCTGGCCATTTGTGGTCTGTTTTTGTACCTCCAGTATATCAGAGTCAAGACATTACATATATTGTGTAAATTATTAATGATCAAATGTGTAATTTAAGAAAATCTTTTCCACTGAAAAATCTACCTCCTCAATTAACGAGGAGCCCAGTGTGTAGCTGCTGTTAGTCCATAAATTTAATCTAACCAGCAGATTCTAAGAGTATCTAAGTAATGGCACTGAAAGATGATCAAGCTTTTGTGTGTGTGTGTGTGTGTGTGTGTGTGTGTGTCTCAATGGCTATTTAAACCGCTGTGTGGCAAATATTCAATTATTTTTTGCATACAGCAGTATATCTTCTGCATAGCTAATGCTGCAAGAAGGAAGAAGGAGGTGTACATAAAAAAATGTTTCAGTATGTTCAGTCTGCGTGTGCTTTGATTGAAGAGCTGT